CGTATTAAACCACTACAGACTAAGTTATCATTTCTGACAGCTGGTAGTGGGCGTATGTTACCTTGCCTGGCAAGCTATCTTTATCATTACTGTGAGAGACTTGATGTACGTATCATATTGCAGTTTACTAAAAAATCAGACTTGACAAGGGGACTTTAATAAAATTCTGATGTTATTATACATATCACCTGAATCATCAGATATTTTCATGAATGTATGTCTATATCAGCTTTTTATTATTATGTTAGGTATGGAGCTCTCTGAACTTGAAATCCCCACTTACTCATCAAACCAAACAAACATTTGAATCCTCGTTTAAATATTTGTGGTTTTTTTTTCAGTTCCCAGTTAGATAAGAAGTATAAAAAGAGTTAAGGCATCAGATTATTGAAGAGAAGATTATTAAATATTATGAGATACTGAAAATGACCAAGTTAGCGCAAATGTTCAATCACATTGTATTACAAACAGAAGGACCTCAACCTGATTTACCAAGGTATTTTTCCATCTTCATAGCACATTGAAATATAATGTATTCCAAAAAAAATTATGAAAAAGAAATGAATGAACATATTTTGTTTCATCAATTGTGTATGTTTGAACTATTTCAGGACTGACGGTTTTAAATATCAGCTTAAAAGAGATTATCCACAGTTATCATTTCATTCTCCACTTCATAAATCAAAGAGTGAAATGGTATTTGTAGATAGCAGAATGTTTAATGGATAGTTTTCCAGCCTCATCATCAACAGATGTAGAAATAGGTACCAGTCGTCCGCGGCCTATCCAAGAATTAATTCCAACAGACTAGGATGTTATACAAATAATACAATGCTAGTTTGTTAATAAGAAATTCTCAAATCTTTAGCCTTAGGATTAGCTATTAGATAGGATCGTCTCAGGTGTTGGAGATAATAGCTTAGCTTGGACACTGTGCCTCAAGGTCACCTATTGTTGGATTTGAAATATGGTTTTGGATAATATCGATTTTTGTGAAGAGACTGTGTCTGGGAAAGGCAGGACACATCACACAAAAGGCATCATGGTGCAAAGGTCCATTTCTAGCACAGAAGAAACGCACTCAGATGGTTTGAAAAAAGGAGGTCGCTCATTCAGATATACAAGCAGCATATCATTAAACCAAAAGACATGGACCAGAAAATCTAGGTGATACCATTCTAGCAGAGGAAACAACTTCTCATAAAATTCTAAAGCCAGCAAGAAATTCGGATCTTGCTTACATCCTATCAAAAGTTTTTACTGGTTTTAATACAAAGTTGAATGTGCCTTTCCTCTCTAAATCTGCAGTGCATTATCTCCCTGTAATAGAGGCTTCACCAACTGAGGTGTCAACAGTTAATGCCATTCTGACCAAAACTTGGGACACATTGGAAGAAAACATGTTGTTTAATTTTTTAACCAGGCTATATATGCCAAAGCCAAACAAACCAGATGACAAATACTAATTTATGTGAAAAGTTAATCATCCGTTTTGGTGGATTCCATGCATCTGTCTTTTATTGGTGTCATAGGAAAACTTTTCAAAGATGGTGGCATGCAAGATGTTCTCATTGAATCTGGAGTTGTGACTCTGGGTTCTATAAATGGTATAATAAATGGTCATCATTACAACAGAAGTATTTATGGTCATAAAACCATGTTCGAGGCACTTCGTCTGAGATTTTAAGCATACTTTGACTCACTTAATGTAAAAGACAGAATGATGTTATTGATTTACTAAATTCATTAACAACAGCATACCCCACTAATGGGTTTAGTTATTTTATTGAATCAGAAAATTTATGACAGATTACAAAAACTTTTGTTGCCTACTGGAACATATATGTTGAACTGGTCCAATTATTTTTTGCTATTTATATGTGGTACTCGTGTTTCTGACTGAAACCTCCACCTCTCTGCTCTACATTCAATGATGCCATGGTTTTTTGTAGCTGATAGGCAAAACTTTTCAAGATATTTACCAGCATATTGGCTAGAAATGATTCAGCTACCAACCATACATCCTACTTGTCACAACGAACTTTTTACAAGAGGTGAATGGAAAGTTCAGCGACAGACTTCACATTCTTTTGCATCAATAGCTTGCGATCAAGCAAATGTATAATCGAGACAAAAGGTGGTATTACTGGCATTACACTAAAGGCAGCCATTACCAGCCAATGTGAATTAATGGGTGGAATGGTTTGTGATGACAAGAAAAGAAAAGATGTTGGACAAATCTCAAGTTGAGCTTGCAGTTAAAAATGTTATGACTACCATAAATGACATGAACATTTCATTTGACAGCCAGTCAGACAATCTAGAATGTATAAGTTCAGGAGTAGTAAACTCAGACGATGTAAAGAATGATTTTCTATCTTCATTGGAAAAGAGTAGAGCTGCAGTTTTTTTCACATCTGTATGGGACAAAATCGGGAATTGGACTTAAGGGACATTTTTATACGCCCACATGGAAATGTGGACATATATTGCCGTCGCCTCTGACCTTCGGTCTGTCAACATTTCTTGTGAACACAATAGAGACTACAGTTTTTATCTGATTTTATTGAAACTTGGTGTGATCTTGTATAATGCTGAGATCTTGGTCAAGTTTGAATTGACAATCTTTCAATGAATGGGTTTTGAGATATTGCCTTGACTTAGGAAAAACGTTCTCAACTGATTTTTATACGCCCACATGGAATGTCCGTCCGTCGGTCCACTTAGTTAAAACACGTTAAATTTGGCTTGTATGCATGATAAAGGCTACAATTTTTATCCGATCTTGATGAAACGTAGTTTGCACGAATATATTGATGAGATCTCAGTCAAGTTCGAAATTGGTAATAATCGGATGAACAGTTTCAGAGTTATTGCCCTTGATTTAATAAAAATTCATTAAATTTGGCTTGTATGCACGATAAAGGCTGCAATTTTTATCCGATCTTGATGAAACTTAGTATGCATGTATATATTAATGAGATCTCGGTCAAATTCTAAATTGGTAATAATCGCATGAAAGTTTCAGAGTCATTGCCCTTGACTTAATAAAAATTCATTAAATTTGGCTTGTATGCACGATAAAGTCTGCAATTTTTATCCGATCTTGATAAAACTTAGTATGCACGTATATATTGATGAGATCTCGGTCAAATTTGAAATTGGTAATAATCGGATTAACGGTTTCAGAGTTATTGCCCTTGACTTATTAAAACGTGTTAAATTTGGCTTGTATGCACGATAAAGACTACAGTTTTTATCTGATCTTGATGAAACTTAGTATGCACGTATATATTGATGAGATCTCGGTCAAATTTGAAATTGGTAATAATCGGATTAACGGTTTCAGAGTTATGCCCTTGACTTATTAAAACGTGTTGAATTTGGCTTGTATGCACGATAGAGGCTACAGCTTTAATCTGATCTTGATGAAACTTGGTATGCATGTATATGTTGATGAGATTCCGAGATAAAAAAAATGAATGGAGTTTAGGTTTTTTTATTTATATTGATTCCATCCTTTGACAATCTTAACATTTTTTAAGTTTTTTCCCTTGATATTAGAACTGTGTGATTTAATAATTTGATGTTTTTGGGTTATTGATATTGATTTTAAAAAATTTTGTGGAATTTCTCAGCATAAATAACTGGCAGTAAATATATATATATCATTGAAATCAAACTAATAAAATTAGTATTTAAGTCACTAAATACGCCATTGGGCGTATGTTACCTTGCCTGGAAAGCTCTGTTATTCTATACTCTGGGACCAGTGTCTTTTCCTTTGTCTATTAGTGATGGTTCATTGGCAAAGACAGACAAATCTTCAATGATGAAACTTTTAGAAGCCTCTGTGGACAATTGTTTAGTTGATAGAGGCTCGTTAACTGATCAAAAGTCTTGTTTAAATAAAGATGCAATGGCATTGATTCAGTCCTTGTTTGACATTCCAGATACTTTTTGTGAGATGTCTGATAAGATATTTACTCAACTTGTGTCATTAGCAGGGACAGATATCTTACAATTGGTTTGTGAACATAAAAGAGGCTACAGTTTTTACCTGATTTTAATGAAATTTAGTGTGATCATTTATGTTTATGAGATCTTGGTCAAGTTTGAATTTGAAGATTTTTTGATGAACAATTTTTGAGTTATTGCCCTTGACTATGGAAAACACGTCAAAATTAGTTGATGAGATCATGGACATGTTCGAATTTGACGAACTTTCAATGAACGATTTATTGCCCTTGACTTATGAAAAACACATCAAAATTTGTTTGTGAACACAATAGAGACAACAGTTTTCATCCGATTTATATGAAATTTGGTGTGATTGCAGATGATTCTAGACTGGAGCGCATAAACTGTGTCAAATCAACAATAAAAAAACATGCATCATAACAATAAACACCATGACATGTGCTAGTTTTGTTTTTGTTTGTTTTAATTGGCCAATCCATGCTACATGACCATCTCCAACTACCAAATACCGGTATTGATATTCATATATTTGTCCACATCTGATCAAGTCCAAATAAGGAAATCAAGTAAACATCTGCTGTTGATCGAGTCTGTATGGATTAGATGGTTGAAGAATAAAACTGTGGGGCTACAGTTTAGGAACTATGTGTATTTGGCATCTGGTCTTAATAAAGTGCTGATACTCCATCCGTATATCACGTCATGTTGGTTAACAAAAGTATGCTTGACACACACGTTGTGACTTAAGATCGCGGGCTAGCGTGTTAAACCATATTTATATTGACTAGAGTGGCATCAGACCCGAGTTACAAATGGCAATTATATGATTTTTGTACATTTCTAGTACATCTGCAGACTATTTACATATATTCAAGACCCAAATCAACCCCCGAAAATTGCTTTAAATGTCTTAATGATATTTCATTACAGTTGCTGTGTGAGTGTGTGTGTTATAGTTTTATACCTTGTGTGACAAGTTAAATCATCTTTTTCCAGATCCAGATACAGATTTTTTCACTATGACAAATATGATCAAGTTTTTCCTTCTTTACGGTTTTGTTTTTGGTAGTATTAATGGTGAGTCTTTAACGTAGTTATATATGCCTACATGAAATGTGGAACATATATTTGCATCACCCATTTCCATCCACCCATCAGTCCCCAATTATTCGAAAACACTCTAGAAAGCACAATTCTTAGCAGATTTTGAAGAAACTGTGAGTGTTTGTAAACACTAAAAGGCACGATTCTTGCCGGGTTTTTGACAACTTGGCAGTTTTGTTCAGTATCACCCCAAAAAGTTCAAAAGAAGTGTATGACTGAAGGTTGAATATTTCATACTGGTGATTGTTACTGTACTGCCAAAATTTTTTATTCAAAATCAAAGATGCCAGTGGGTGTATATTACCTTGCCTGACAAGCAATCTTTTTGTTTACATGACTTGGTGTGAATGCTCTTTTATGTATTTCATTTCGTTTCAATTTGTGAAAGTGGAAAAAGAGCATTTTTATACGTCCACATCTCTCTATTTGCTTGTAAACGCTCTAAAAACTAAATCGAAAGGTTTGAGAAAGTTTAGTTTACTTCTGATTAAATTTAAGGCTTTTTCAAGATTTAGGCCTCTTACGTCAGTTTTGGGAAGTTATCGTCCTTTAACCTCTATACAGTAAGTGCTTCTATCAACATCGAGTGCTCGTAAACACTCTAAAAACTAGAGTGTTTGAAGGAATAAAATGGAATTCGGTATGTGTATACATATTCATAAAACGAAGATCAGGTGTCGTGATTTTACACTTTGTAAATATATAATTAAACCAGCTCTGTTCAAAATTTTATTTGTATTACAGGTCAATATACTTTAAGAGGAGTTCCTGAAAGTTATGCAGTGTTAGGTGAAAATTATACATTACAATGTGATGTTACAGATTCACCTAGTCTTGTAGATTTCCGTAGAAACAATATTGTTGTATGTAATATGATAAACTGTGAGAGTAGTTCAACAGATAATAGATATAAATGTCGATGTATAAATAATAACGACAAAACACTATATCTCAATATAAGTAATATAAATAAACAAGATGATACAACATGGTCTTGTAGAGGTGATTCTGGTGGACAAGGATCAACTACTGTACCAGTTTATTGTAAGTTTGATTTTATTGCTTTTTTTTGCTTTTTTTTTTTTCGAATTTTACCTTCGCTTGTTTTCTAGGAAGGAAACATGCCACAGACTGTCTGTTGTTGTTTTCTAGTCAAAATATTGGACAATTATTTGTTAAATGTAAATTGGTACCATTTTGACCAACCGGAAATGAGCGGTTGACAATGGCTTTTTTTCGATTTTTTCCATTTATCATCTTTAATACTCATCTGAATTTGTTCAAACTTTACTGTTTATTACTTCGCGCTAATGACTACAAGATAGCAATTGAAAAAATCCACAATTTTGACTTTTGTCACTGACTTTTTGAGCTCCAATTTTTGAGTTTTTTAACCTTTTATCTTACTTCTACAATTCTATTTCGATCAATTTGAAAACTTACTTAGAGATAAACACTTTTATTACAAACAAAAACTAATTTTCGAAATTTCAATATCACTTCCGGTTTTGACGCTATTCGCTTGTAAAATATAAAATTCAACTTCCGGAATATTAAAGATATTTCAAAAATTCTTTTTGCAATATGTTACTAATAGCCATACAAAAAACTTCAAATCATAAAACCGGACCCGGATGTAACAGAGTAGCCTTATATAGAGTGCTTTTCATAATTTTGGTATGTCTGGATATTACAATCGATTGCGAAAAGAAATTTGGAAGCAGATTTTTGAATTTCGATTTTGCTTTTCTTTTATTTCTGGTTCAAAAATTTTCGGAAATGTCTAAAATTTCAAAGGCTTCTATTTTGTGACCTTGACCTTTGGTGACCTTGTGGCCTGAACAAAATTTGTTGCCCTTGATGATATCTATCCAGTGATATACTCATTTGTGCTGTGCAATGTTTACTTCCAGTTTTATAGTCAATTGAAAATCTAACAATTTAATGTAAAAATGTGTTTTATCTGACTATTCTTTGTTTTATTTAGACAAAATAATAAGGATATCAATGAATTCTGCATTCAGCATAATAATTCATATTGTTAAATGCTGAATGTCCTTATTTTCACCAGGTACATTATCACTTATTATTTGAATCTCTTTCACAAAGTGATAAGAAAACTTAGGCCACACCAATTTAATTACTTGAATTACGGGCAAAACTTTTGAAAAAAGCAGGGAGCAGGGGGAATAAAAGTAAAAAAATCAAAAAATCTGCATTTCAAGAAGAAGGCTTTGACGAAATAGCACATTGTTTATCATTCTTTGACACCAGATTAAACCTTATGGATTTAAAATTAAATTGTCTTAAAACTGCTACGGGTGTAACTATCTCTACATCGGTAGTTTCATGGTCTATTTCGATACCGGCTTTAACGCTGCATCCGGAGCGCGTCAACAAATTACCAACATTTTCGTCATCAGAGGCACGCACTATAGTTCATTTTGTGACACGGCCCTCGGTACATATGGAGACGTTGATATAAACATCGAGTTCAACGCTCATTTTCTCACATTTTCACATAGATGTATTTTCATCACCTCAATTGAATAATGGCCGACGAGAGAATTTTTACAAAATTTGCAGACTGGAACGAACCAAATCACAAATCATGTGTTATTGGTTTATTTTATTTTTTGAAAGGCTTTTCCAGATTTCCGGAACTAATCTCATAATAAAAACAAATTTTAAAACTATCTAGCCAACAATCAACATATTACAAACCAATTTATCTTTCGAATGAAAATAGCTTCGGTTCAAGATTTATTTTAGAAATTTGCAGGCACCTCATTTGCATAGTCGTACTTGCTTTGTAGTACCGTTATCAAAAACATCGTGGAACTAGCCTTTTGTCTCATTAACACTGACTGACCATTCAACAGTGAACGCTTTCGCTAAGCGAGTACAACTTATCAACCGAGTTACGTCCCTTTAGGATTTCGTGTTGAAATTTTTACATCGGCGGACACAGTAAGAATAAAAAAAAAATAGATTTTTTCATTTTTATTTTTATTGGGATTCGTCAAAAAAGCAGGTCGGAGGGCCCGTAATCCAAGTTTATAAATTGGTGTCGCCTTATATATGAATAATATTCCATAATTTCTCTTAAGGGATGTTACTTATGTGCCTGTTAATACTAAGTAAAGCTTGAAGCTGCTTTCAAGTGATTGGTCTTGAATGTGTCAAATTTTATGAATATCGGTGACACTGATAACATCAATTTGCACCATTCCAATATTAAGTCGAGACATCTGTGGTCCTTGCAAACTAAACATTTTATGACGTCACTAATCACCTTATGTGATAAATAGAGGATCTTAAACGAGTGCTTATGTAATATGAGATTTATGAAATGAGTTGCCAGATTTAATATTACCTGAACCTTGGAGATGAAAATATGTAATTCAGCAATGAATATGTTTACAAGGTGCATGAATACATGACCTATAAAAGTTCATATTGTTTTTATGTACAGGAAAACAGAAGTGTTTTGTGATAACGCATATTTTGCGATCAATGATTGTTTTAGGAACCACAGATTTAAGATTGGAATGGCGCAAATTGATGCTATTAGAGTACCCGATACACATAAAGTATTACAAAATCAATCTCTTTACTATTCAAACTAGAGAATGACACAATAACTTTGAAATTTGAACATAACTTTTAGAGAAAATCACTATATCATGAATGGGTAGTTAAGTAACCCACTGAAAACATCTGTCAATCGTTTCACAAAAATTTGAAAGTTTTCAATTATGACACGAATATACGGCTATCTAAAGTTTACTATTACGTGTGTTCCACAAAACAGTCGTAAGATTAGGATTTAGACTGTTAAAGATTAAAAGTAATCGAAAGTAATTCTCGTGGACAAAGACATAAGTAAAAACGAGTTTCGCTAAGCAGATGACAGAACCAGAAAAGTGGTAAGTGTTGAAATTTTCTTTTATGTGCAGATTGTAACAAATAATGATAACTAATTATGTTTGGAAATGATGACATAAATTGAAAGGGCTGCATGCTGCACTCGAACTTTAGCTGTACTTTAATCAAATTTGAGCATGCTGCGCAACTCTTTGATATAATTCATACTTCACATGAGCTTTTTGTTAACAAATCTAAAGTTAAGTCTAAGATATGGTGGTAGCAGACTTTAATCGTACTTTAAAAATGTTTGCGATTGAAATTGTAACAAAGGAGGACTATTTCAACCAATTACCTCAATTATTGGTATGTCTGCGTTGTGGTATGCTAGTGGCTCTTTCCAAATAACCGTGGGGATATAATAGGTATTCACCAGATGAAAATAAAATAAAAACGAGGCTTTTACGATATTGAGCAGATTCCGGGAATAATTGGGACAATTGACTGTTATACACATGTTCCCATGCAATGTCTGAATGGTTATCAAGCTGGATTATTTCACAATCGAAAAGAATGGTATTCCATTAATGTGCAGGTAATTGGAGCTCATAATCTCATGATAAGGGACATAGTTGTAAGATGGTTTGGCTCTATCCACGATATGAGGATCTTACAGCACCTAAAGTTGTTCGGGACATTCAGTTGAGATTTGTTGACTTGGTGGGTGACGACAATATACGTCCACATTATAATGTGGGCGTATAAAAATGGTAAAGTTGGTTTTAGCTTCTAGAAAGCAAACTTGCTGTCTGCCTCCTAATGAAAGTACAAGCTAAATGTGATATTGCATCAAACTATGATATAGAGTTTGTTTTACAGTTCACATTTAGCTTTTTATCAAGCTGGTGGTGGGCGTATTCGCTTGTGAGACTTGCCGCAAGCCTATGTTTGTCAAATATTTGGGCATCGCGTGTTGTCACCTACTGAGGTAACTTTACCACAGCTTTCACAGAGGTAGTATAAGCTTACCTTTGAAAACTTGTTTGACTTTTTACTGCACTATTCTATGTGGCAACTGTTCTATGTGTCTCAACAGTCACTCCGTCACTGAGTTCGTAGCTCCATCAATGATATCACCCCTCATGTCAGTGATTCTGTTCAGTTAAAACGTCAATTGTCAATGTTACCAAACAAAATATTAATCTTTTAATATTAAAAGCAATCTGTATTTTTCTTTCTGTGTGAGACTCAAATGATTTAGTCCTAATTGAATTGTTTTCTTTCTTTTTTATTAACATCACCATAGATTGCAAATATCACTGCCATTGTTTTCGTCTAGATATGCCCATGCGATTTTAACTTCCATTTTTACGTTCTTCTATTCACCTATACGTGATGGACATAATCTTTGACAGCTTATACCTGCTGTAAGGTTACGATTATTGTAAATGTTAGTTAAGATTTTTTGTGGAACGACCCACTTTGGATTAAAACCTCTCATAAGATTTTTTGTGGAACAATACCCTGCACTAAATTGCTCAAGGATATTTCCTTGCTTATCAAACTTGTAGGCTTATTCAAATTTGATTTGATTTGTTATGTCCAATTGATGATGTCACGCAGTAACAAACTATAATAATTACTGCACTGTCAGACAGGGGTTTTAATTGGCCCCAGTTGCTTATTAAAGTTTGCGCTTATATTGTTTATCTTTAGGATCGCAGATTGCATACTATAAAACGAAACATTTCCAATTTGGCAGAATTTTTGGCGATGTTCATATTATGGAAATACGCCCACATCAAATGGGGGGCGTTTATTGCCTTCACGGAATCTGAAAAAACTTAGTGTGAATGTTCGTAATCACCCAAGGATGAACCCTATTGAAAATCAGAAGAATCGAAAAATAATTAGTATGAGTTACTGCCCTTAATCTTGAAAACCCGTTCAATTTTTAAACACGCTAGATGCAACAATTCTCCACAGATTTGACGAAACTTTGCATGAGTGTTTGTTATCACCCAAGTATAAACCCTATAGGCGTAATTCAGTACGCACGTATCGTTTCAAGTCAGCTCCAACAAAATCCGTACGACATATGCTTCACATAGAAAAGTAAAACTATGCTTGGCTAACTCGCAGTTAAAAGTTCCCACAAATTTTTCATAGCTTTAGAAAGTTCCCGGCATCAAAGTAACAAACTCTTTGATTGCGGTGTATAGCCACCATTTTCTCGTAGTGATAAGGTTTTCTTGGAAAAGGCGTAGAGATATTTTTAGTTCAACCAATGAGAGGTGTCGCAATATGGGCCATCGTCATGGTTGCGCATAATTAGGTCAAGACGTCACAGACCATAAATAAAACAGTCAATAAGTTGCTTGTTTCAATCTTGTTTTTAATAAAAATAAAGGAGACTAAAGTGTGGTTGTAGGCTTGGCCTAAGTATAATCTAGGCCTACATGGACCTACTTCTGTATGAATATTACTAACATTTTTTTTTCAAGCATATTCATTAATTAAAAACAAGGAAGTAAAAAATAATTTTATAAAATTAACAACACCATTCTAATACAGGCTATATTCATATAACAAATGTAACGTAAAATTTCAACATATTTTTAAAGTTAGGGCCATATATAGGGCATGGAATGCAGTTTGTAAAAGATAGCTTGCCAGGCAAGATAACATACGCCCACTACCAGCTGTAAGAAATGATAGCAAAGTAACAAAGTCTGAAGTTTATCGTGCATACAAGCCAAAGTTAACACGTTTTAACTAAGTCAAGGGCAATAACTCTGAAACTGTTCATCCGATTATTACCAATTTCGAACTTGACTGAGATCTCATCAACATATAAGTGAATACAAAGTTTCATCAAGATCGGATAAAAATTGCAGCCTTTATCGTGCATACAAGCCAAATTCAACGCGTGTTTACTAAGTCAAGGGCAATAACTCTGAAACCGTTTATCCGATTATTACTAATTTCAAACTTGACCTAGATCTCATCAATATCTACATGCATACTAAGTTTCATCAAGATCAGTAAAAAAATTGCAGCCTCTATCGTGCATACAAGCCAGATTCAAGGTGTTTTACTAAGTCAAGGGCAATAACTCTGAAACTGTTCATCCGATTATTACCAATATCAAACTTGACCGAGATCTACAACAAATGTGAATGGATGACAGGGGCGACGGCAATATTTCCATGTGGGCGTATAAAAATCAATGAGCATTATTTGTTGAAAAAAGAAATTAACATTGAATGTTAAATTTATACATTGTCTTTCTTTCCAAAAATACTAAAAGTGTATTCAGGTAATGAAGAAACACCTAAGTACCTATAACATATGAAAATGATTTCTTTTTATAGAAACTGAATCAGTAAATAGGGTGATTTAATCTCTTCTCAATAGATGATTTAATCCAAGTAAAATGTTGCTTGATAGGAACTTTTTACATAAAATATAGGTATGCTAGGTATCACTAGGAATGACAAGGGTACATGTATTTTTTAAGCGGTTCAGTAGTTTTTGATAAAACAGAACCATGAATTAGCCTTAGTCTTTAGTGAAATTAAAGATTGTGGATTGTTGGTGAATGACTTGATTTTGCTTTGAAAACTCTTCACTTGCCTTACATGTTATTGCTAGTTTTCTGACTCTCTGTCTAGGCTAATGATTTTGTCCTGTTGCAGGCTTGGTGAAAACACAATCGATTGCAGCAGAGGTCGTCAAATTTGGATGAAAGCAGATTTTTGTCAATTCTCTCCAAATTCACACGTTCACTACTGACACCAGCATCCCGACGACACTTATACTACCTAAATTACGTGAATGACTCTGTTCTCTTCTTCGAAACACTCTCTCATTGTACAATATACGTCTATATATGTTTCTCGTGGTCTTTAGACATTTTCTATCCTAAATAGTCACTTTTTGACTGGAATGCGCAATATTTATTTACATTTATTGTGGGAGGGCTTCTGTTCATCACGTGATGTTTGATTGGCTGTGACCGATAATTTGACCGAATAATAGACGCACGCACATACAAATGTCCTTACACACTACAGATTTTTATACGCCCACATGAATATGTGGTCGTATATTGTTGTCGCCCCGGTCCGTCGGTCCATCCGTCAACATTTCTTGTCAGCACTATAGAGAGTACAGTTTTTATCTGATTTTGATAAAACTTGGTGTGATGCTTTAGATTGATAAGATCTCGGACAAGTTCTAACTTGACGCATTTTCGATGAACGGTTTTTGAGTTATTGCCCTTGACTTTGTTAAAACGCGTCAAAATGTGTTAAAAATAGTTCGTGAGCAGGATTGAAGCTACAGTTTTCAACCTATTCTGATGAAACTTGGTGTGATCATTGGAATTGATAAGATCTCGGACAAGTTCCAACTTGACGTATTTTCGATGAACAGTTTTTGAGTTATTGCCCTTGACTTTATTAAAACGCGTCAAAATTTGTTAAAAATAGTTTGTGAGCAGGATTGAAGCTACAGTTTGCAACCGATTCTGATGAAACTTGGTGTGATCATTGGAATTTATACGATCTCGGACAAGTTCCAACTTGACGCATTTTCGATGAACAGTTTTTGAGTTATTGTCCTTGACTTTGTTAAAACGCGTCGAAATTTGTTAAAAATAGTTCGTGAGCAGGATTGAAGCTACAGTTTTCAACCGATTCTGATGAAACTTGGTGTGATCATTGGAATTGATAAGATCTCGGACAAGTTCTAACTGGACGCATTTTCGATGAACGATTTTCGAGTTACTGCCCTTGACTTTGTATAAACGCGTCAAAAATGTGTTCGTGAGCCCTATAGAAGCTACAGTTTTCAACCAATTTTGATCAAACTTGTTATCATTGGAATTGATAAGATCCCGGACAAGTTCTAACTTGAGGCATTTTCGATGAACACTTTTGGAGTTATTGCCCTTGACTTTGTAAAACGCTTCAAAATTTGTTTGTGAGCACAATAGAAGCTACAGTTTTCAACCGATTTTGAGGAAACTTGGTGTGATCATTGGAATTGATAAGATCTCGGACAAGTTCAAATTTGACGCATTTTCAATGAACGGTTTTTTAGTTATTGCCCTTGACTTATGAAAAACGTGTCAAAATTTGTTAGTGAGCACAATAGAAGCTACAGTTTTCAACCGATTTTGATGAAACTTGGTGTGATCATTGGAATTGATAAGATCTCGGTCAAGTTCTAACTTGAGATATTTTTGATGAATGTTTTTGCCCTTGACTTTTTACTTTAGCTGCTTATAGTGTTAAATATTTCCACTTTTTTTTTATTAACACATTGTTATCAAAGCATTTCATTTCAAATTAAGATTTTGTTTTCAAAAAAGCAACATATTTTTCCTTTACTGGTATGGTATTATTTAATTTACATCTATATATATAACATTTAGTTAATATTTTAGAATGATTTACAAATAGGAAATCACAATTATTTGAAAAAGAGGACTTTAGTGGTCAGGTTAATATGAATACTGTTACTGCACAGTAGTTCCTCCAAGACATTCCATATACTCTGAGATAAATGACAGTGTAAGAATAAATGATGGATATTTTCAATACTAGCATAGCAAAACGTACATAAAGTTGATGGTTCTAATTTAAAAAGACATAACATGTTGTTTGTAAAAATTATTTTATGAATATATTTGAATTGGAAATTTTGCAATTTAACATCGCAACATACATTTAATGGTAAGTTAAAAATCCTTTCGGACGCATCATCGTCAATATTAATATTTAGCTCATCTTCCCATTTACGTATACTATTTGGCTTACTATATAATGATTTGTAAATATCGGTTGTTTTTATATTATCTAAGTCTTTTTTGTATATTAGATTCAAATTCTGATTTATATCTTCATGCACATCACTATTTGTTGATAGTATAGATCGATGTTTGTTATTTTTGATGAGGGTTTTAACTTTGTTCCATATATTTGCTATTGATGAGTGATAGCATATTGGATATTTAATCATATTTGGACTGATAAATTCATGAATAAACAGTAGATTTTTTTTAATGGACAGAAAATTATTAGGGTCAATTACTTTTTTAATGTGTTTATTATACCATAATAATTGGTTTTCTATGGGGACGACTTTGTCAATATGTGAAGTATAAACTTGATACCAGTTTAATATGAGTTTTTTATAAAATAGAGAGTGTATTTTAAATACTTGATGTGTAAAGTTGGTGCCTAAAATTAGTTTTCCGTCATACGGTAACATACTAAATAAAAATGTTTTAATCCATACCGGTACTTAATTTTTGAAAGAAAATAATTTCTTAATCCAAAATATCGATTTACTGATAATGTGTTGCTCTAAGTTAATCATGTTCAGACCCCCTAGGGACTTATTTTGGCAAATTGCATTGTGCTTAACCTTATCAGGGCCGTTCCATAAGTAATTATATATAATGGTATTACACTTTTTAATGACATATTGCGGTACATAAATAGCTGAGGCTTGATACAATAATTTGGATAAACAAAATGTTTTAATTATTTGAATTTTACCAATTTAAGTAAGATTCCGTCCTTTCCATCTATTTATGATATTTTCAATTTCTTCTAGTTTATTATCAAAATTTAATTTATTCTTAATTGACTCATCAAATGAGAAAAAGATGCCCAGAATTTTTATATAATCTTTGCTGACAGGCAAACCAAGGTTATTAATAAGGTTAGATAAATTTTTGATATTACTATTCAAATCCATGGCTTCCGTTTTTGACAGATTAATAGATAATCCTGATGTAAGACTAAAATGCCTCAAAACCTCCAAAAGATGTCGAGCTGTTTTAAAATCTTTTAGTAAACAAGTGATATCATCTGCAAATGCTATGATTTTCAAATCTTCATTTCCAAATGCAATGCCTTTATATTTGCTATCTGCACGTACGTATATACACAATGTTTCAATGGCTATGTTAAATAAAATGGCTTGATTTAATAGGAAAATATTTTGTACTATAACCATTGTTGAATACTGCACATTCTATATCTTTATAAAGCGTTTTGATCCGTCGTCTAAAATTCCTTTTAGAACCAAAATATCTCAAAACATCCAGCATATGGTTATGATTAATACTGTCAAACGCTTTTTTGAAGTCAATTGCTAGAAGCAGTCCAGATATGCGCTTTTGTTGGGCTAATGTGATAATTATTATTATTCTGATATTTTCTTGAATATGTCTGTTGTAAATGCAGTCTGATTCGGGTGTATTAACTTGAATAAGAAAGGTTTCACTCTTAAAGGTTTTTATAAAAATATTCAATATTATTCATAATCTCATTGGGTTTATCAATTACATTACTTTCTGATGTTATTAGTTAAGAAATTTTAGTTGATTTTTGTGTTTGTTTTTCCAAGTTCAGGAAAAAAGCTGTGTTCTTTTCACCCTCTATAGCATATTGGATCTTCGATCTCAGAATGGCACCTCTTGCTTCGTCTGTGTACATATTATCTAATTTAGCTTTTATAATTTCATATTGAGTGCAGTTTTCTTGGTAATTATCGTCGAGTAATATCTAGTTCTTCTAATTCTTTACTTAATTTATCTTTTATTGTTTCTGTTTACAGTAAGTGATTGTGCATGTCTTTATTTTAAACTTTATAAAATCCCATAAGCCTCTGCGATTATTGACATCAAAATATTCTTCTTTCCATGTTTGTAACGAATTGCAAATTAATTGTGTATAGGTACAATCGTTTGTTAGTGTAGCGTTAAATTTTTAAATTTCCGGAGAGATGGGCCTTGTTTCGATTCATTTTGAGTTAAGTTTATTGATATTGTGGAATGATCACTAAGAATATTAGGAATTATTTTACAGTTGGTTATTCTTTCCTGAACAGCCTCAGATACAAGCCAAAAATCTATCCTACTGTGTATGCTGGGTTTCTTTTGTTTCCATGTGTATTTTTTAGACATTGGCATGTTGAATCTATATATATCTATAAGTTGATAGGTATTTATTATATTAAATATTTCTTTAAATCCCTTCTTTTTAATTCTATAATTTCCACTTAATCTATCATCCTCTTTATTGAGTACGTTATTAAAATCACCTCCTATTAGTATTGGATAATTGTGGTCATCTAAAATAGTTTTAATTACATTGTTCAAATTTTGGTAATATAAAAACTGATCTTTGTCCGGAATTGGGCTATATGTGTTCACTAAAATATATGTAGTTTGAAAAATATGCGCAGTAACAATACAATAGTAACCTTTTGGGTCGGGGTAACACTTCAGGATCTCTACATTAGCATTGTTACATAATAATATAGCTGTTCCTGCAGAGTTACTACTGCCATGTGAAAATAGTATATCCCCACCCTAATCATTGCTCCACTGTTTCTCGTCATCTGAAGTACTGTGTGTTTCTTGTAAAAACAAAGGATCTGAATTTTTATCTTTCAACCATGAGAAAACTTTTACACATTTTAGTCTGTCACGCAAGCTATCTTACCATAAGTAAAGAGTCTTTTTTAAAAACGTAAAAAACAACAAAGAACTATTATTTTTCGATGGGAACTTTTTGATTATGATATCCACAGTATGTACCCTGTTCGTACTAAAAAGTTCTTCTAATACAATTTTGTTGGAGCGGCTTTTGATTTATAACGAAAACTTTCACTGTGAGAATAGGGCCTACTATTGAAAAACAGAAGAATCAAACGGATTTTAACGAAACTTAAGTGTTTGTAATCACCCAAGTAAGAACCCTATCGAAAATCAGAAAAATCAAAAAAATATTTAGTAGGAGTTATTGCCCCTGTTCTTGAGAACGCGTTCAATTTCAACACTCGTTAACATTTTAAAAGATTCAATTCTTAACAGATTTTGACGAAACTTGCTGATATTGTTTATTATCACTCATGGATGAACCTTATCAAAAATAAAAAAAAATCGAAAATAAAAAAAAATATAAAAATGTTTCATAGGAGTTATTGACCTCGTTCTTGAAAACGCTTTCAAATTTTAGCTTTAAAAACTAAAATGCATGATTCTTGTCGGATTTTGACTAAACTTGGTCTTCTTATTGAGTACATCGCTGAAGGTTGAATATTTGCATTCTAGAGTTTTCACGAGCTAAAAATTGAACACGTTTTCAAGAACAAGGGCAATAACTCATACTCAATATTATTCAGTATCGCCCCAAAGAGTTCAAAAGAAGTGTATGACTGAAGGTAGAATATTTCATACTGGTGATCGTTACTGAACTGCCAAATTTTTGTTCAAAATCAAAGCTGCCAGTGGGCGTATATTACCTTGCCTGGCAAGTGATCTTATTTTTGGCAGTGAAATTGAATTATTGGTGTTTGGATCATGCTTTGAATCAGAAGAAAAATATTTTAAAGCAAGAAAAGTAATAGGCTACTGATTTGTTTCATTTCATTTGTAAAAAATCTGTGATTCCATAATAATTGACATCCCCAAAACTCCACCAAATTGAAAAAATTTTGTTTCATAGTATGAAATATGCGATCCATAAGATATAATACCAATTTAGGGCAAATTTTTATTAGCGGTAGAGAAATTGGGATTTAAACCTCATCAGGCCTTGGCTTACCATGGCTACTGCTATTGTGTGTTCAATCTCAAAACATTATATAACGCCAGTCAGCAATTAGGCACACTTGAGGGGAAAACTCTTCAAACAATGATGTTAGATATTGTATTGTAAAGATGGCGGTTTTACAGTATGACAATAATAATAATAAAGTTACCTGCACATGCAGGGGAGGTAATTAAACAAGTACAATTCGTACACATAAGAATAGTTCAGGCTAATACGTAACTACCATGAAATGGCGAGGCCTCTTTATCTTTAAAATCACCACTAGTCTGAATATTCACAAATAATGTAATCATTCACAATTATAGTCTTGTAAGTAACTTGGTTTCTCGTGTGGACGTTGTGGCGTAGGATCGACTGTTGTAGCGGGACTGTTGAATGCTAAGTCTACAGGAACAGCAGGATCTGGGTTATTGTTGATACTTTGCATGTCGTTTTCCGATGGTGGCTCTGCAATGACTTGAGGAATCTGGGGTGAGTGTGGAGTTGGGAGATGTAATGACTCATCAGGTGGAGAGGATAGAGGTATAGTACAAGCTTCGTCGCTTAACGAGTCCTCTTGTGGACTGATAGTCATATCAGAGTAAAGTTCGTTATCGGAATACACTCGGAAAGTTTCACTTTATAAGGCAAAGACCGAAGTTGGTTACCGGTAAACTTTCGGACAAAACACCATCCCTTATCAATGTTCGTTTACAAGATATCAGCTTTTACCACGGGTTTTGTCCCTATAGGTGGTTAGATAAACAAGATCGCCAACTGATGGAGATGGTTTTGATAGCTGAGACTGTCGACTTGGGGTTTTAGATGACCGACTGTAAGGATGGTTTCTAAGGCAGGATTCATGCTGTTGTAGAATCAGGTCATGGTCACAAATTGGTAACTGGGTGTTATCAAACTGGCAGCGCTGAGTCCATATCTCGCGAGAAGAAAGACCTCTATTGCGGAGACGTGAATTTAAATTGGACGTAACGATGGATAAGCCAAGAGGTGGGACTGATCTTCCTTCTGGTTGATATTGTACGATTTCATCTATCAATTCAGCAATAACTTTCTTTGCGACCGGATTCTTATTAGGATTCTTTATTCGAACTATGTCTAAAGTAATTCTGAGTTGAAGCAAAGCAGAATCTTCACGAAACCAGGCTCTGGATCCACACTAACAACCACCGGAGGACCAGTAATTGGGCGCATTTCAGGACAAAGTCGAGCCAGAGCATTACGCAATGTTGTAGAACGCTCATCGTCTATGAGGCAACATACAGTATAAGAAGAGGCTGTTTCACGTAGAAGGAAAATGAGTTGTTTGCAACGTTTCAATACATCAGCAGCAAATGAGATTCCAATAGATTGTGGTGGAGGTTGTGTGGACTGTTCAGCTACTGGCTGTGGAAGTTTCTGAAGTGACGAACACACACGGCAGGTATCAGTTATGTCACTAATAGCTTTTTCGAGATCCAGGGCATAGAAACAGCGTTTCACAACGAGTTTTGATTGATGCTTTGAAGGGTGACTACACTTGATATGCATTGCTGTTAAAAGTCCACTTAAAACAGGTCTAGGAACTACTATTAACTCAGATGTAGGGCAAATGGTTCAAAGTTTTTGACTACAAAGAGACCATCTCTGGATATGGTAACACTACAAAGGTATCGTTTGACATCAGGAATATTAGTCAACTTCTTAGATGGTCGTGTTCCCTGTTTAAGGTGTGCGTGTGTACGACGCAGATCTGGGCATTCGAATTGAGTTTGGATCCATGCTGAACGGCTTGCAAACAGAACAGGACAGGTGCCAGAGATAATATCCTGTACGGTGGTAGCACTTCTGTAGAATCTTCTGTGCGGGATATAAAATTGCAAATTTGACAATTAGGTTCGTGACATTCTGTGGCATTGCGACTGGCAAAATCTGATGAAATATTAGATGTTCCGGCTAGGTGAAGAAGGTTGACTTGGTAGCGGCTTGCGATGGACAAAAAGGATGTGACTCTGGGACTATTGGAAAATTCACCACGACATAATTTTAGAAAAGCTTGGACACATGGCTTACTGTCAGTCAAAACATTTGTCATGACTGGATTATAGAGGGACTGAAGTGTTTAATGGCTGCAGTTATACACAATGCTTCAATCTCGCATGGTAACCAAGTAATCTGATGTTTTTTATACGCCCACACGTAAGATGGGCGTATATTGTAATCACCCCGTCGGTCCGTCGGTTCACATTTGGCTCGTGCTCACTCTACAGGCTACAGTTCTTTATGGATTCTTTTGATTTTTAGTTTGTATGTCAATGTTGTTATGAAGATGATCCCTATTGATTTTCGTGATGATCGGATAATTTTTCACCGAAATATCGTGTCTGACTTGACGTTTTTCTCTTTTAGCTATATTGTGCAACTCGTGCTCACTCTACAGGCTACAATTTTTTACAGATTCTTTTGATTTTTATACGCCCAGACGTAAGATGGGCGTATATTGTAATCACCCCGTCGGTCCGTCTGTTCACATTTGGCTCGTGCTCACTCTACAGGCTACAGTTCTTTATGGATTCTTTTGATTTTTATTTTGTGTGTCAATGTCATTATGAAGATGATCCCTATTGATTTTCGTAATGATCGGATAATATTTCACCGAAATATCGTGTCTGACTTGACGTTTCACTCTATTAGCTATATTGTGCAACCCTGTAGTCACTAAAGACTGTTTAATCATTTCTGACAGCTGCCAGTGGGCGTATGTTACCTTGCCTGGCAAGCTATCTTTTAATTTAGCACTAAAAAAAACGGCTAAGGAGGTTTTGTTGTTGCGTGTTAGGTAGAGAGTGGCTCCAAGTCCTCGCTTACTGACAGACCTGTCAGTTACGATCCATAGTTGATCCGTTGGACGGGGTAATAAGATGCTTTTATGGTCTGTAAGTGACTGTTGGGCTGCTGAGAAATGATGATGTAAGTCTTCTGACCAGCTGATTTTGTCGCTAGATGTTAGACCTGCGATGGCGTCGTCCAAAGGTCTTATGAGTGAGGAGCAGTTAGGTAAGACTCTGCCAAGTACTTTGTAAGCGCCAATGAAGGAGCGCATTCCTCGAACGTTTTCGGGTGGAGGCGATGTGGATAAAGTAGATATGCAGTGAGGGCTTGCAGAAATTGATCCTTGTGACCAAATCCACCCTAGGATGGTAGTTGACTTGGGACAAATAATCGTCTTTGAGGCTGCTAATTTGAGATCACACTTGCTGAGTGCTTGTATAGATAGACGAAAGTTTTCTAATAGTTCTGTTGGCGAGTTACCTCCGATATATAAATCATCAGCCAGTTTGGTAACTTTGCCCGAGTACAAAAGATCGCCGAGGACTCTGCACATGAGTTCCTCGAGCGCAGTTTCTGATCCTGGCTTTCCCATAGTTGTATAGGGTATAAACACGAATACCTCTGAAAGTGGTGCATACTCTGCAATACTTCATAGAACCAGGGGCAAGATGTATTTGGTAGAATGCCTGTGTCAAATCTGTAACGATGACATACTGCCAGCAGGCGATGGTGCGTAGAATGGAATCAACATCTGGCATGAGTGATGGTTGGGGCTTGCTGTATCATGCTACATCTGCGAAGGCGGTGACTAGTCTAAATCCACCATAGCTTTTCTTGACCAGAAATGAAGGGTTTAGGTACTCAACTGTAAGGTTCAAATCCTCAGGTTTACAGAATACTCCTACTGATTCCAATTGGTCGAAAATATCTTGTAACTCTTGTAGTTTGTCTTTTGAGTACTGGGGGATTCTACCTTTTCGTTGTGGGGGTTCCAGAGATCCCATATTGACGATGGCTTGAAAGGGGCCAACGGATCCATTATAGCCTGTAATTGTAGGATCAAAAACCGAATCGAATTCTTGCATTACCGATCGGAAATCTTTATGAACAGACTGTGGTCAAATATGATCTGGATCTAATTTGACTATATCAGAGAAAAAGGTAGTGTCTTTCAAAACTGCAGACAGGACTGGTTTGGCCGGTGGGTAAGCAAGATGATCTGTATCTGTGACAGTTTAGACACGTCTTACTTGACAGAAATGTTCATGGCGTTTGAGAGTGTTTTGGCAGAGTAGGTCTCTTGTCACAGCACGAAATACTTTGGACTCAACAGCAGAATTTACCTCATCTAATAAAGGGTCTAGAGCGAGGGATATCTCTGGTTTCTGCAAGTTGTAGAGCGGAGTTCTGTCCCATAACACTGCTTGACGAGTTGGGGTAAGTCAGGGTGGATTAATCTTATCCATGTGAGTACGACCATGTTCTCTAACGAAGGTGTCAGTTCTTCATCCTCATTAGGTACGATACCATGATGGCTAATGTGTCCGTTTTGTGAAAGGAGGTTGTCTTCTATGAAGGACATGAGGCATTGATAAAGGTCTTCGATGCGTTCGTCTGGTTGAAGTACAATGGTATTAAAGTCTAAGAAGTGGGAGCCTGTTGATTGGAATCCATAATGTAATCGTATAACTTGCCAAATAGACGACATGGAGGTGGAGTTCTTCACAATAGAATTGCGTGAAATGATGGGACAGTAGTTGGCAATTTGGCCCAACATAAGGTCTAAATGTGTGACTTTCTGCTGGGCAGTTCTCCTTCGTTCCTGAGCTACGCGTTCTCCGTCATTAGCTAAACCTCGTAGGAGGGTTGTGGAAGACTTCTTCAGCCATGTCACGCCATCTAATAAAAAAATAGGCAAAGTTTTGGTCAAGGGATAAAATATACTGCAAATTCTGCCGCCAGGCTTCAAACGATGTTATGGTCTCATTTTTTCGCAAAGACCATTGTTTGGGGGCTCTAGTACTAGCCATACTTATCTGCAGGATCTGAAGAGTTGAGAACAGTAGATAATTTAACTGCTTCCCTTTCCGAGTTGTTATCGGCTGAAGTGTGTAACGCTCGAACAAACAGTCTTTGTGTTGGAAAAATCACTAACAGGTTATTTTAACAAAGTTTTTGTTGAACTTTTGAATCAGTTCTGTACTTGGTAACTGAAATCCCAGCTGCTGCCACCACGCCAGTCAGTAATTAGGCACACTTAAAGGGAAAACTCTTCAAACAATGATGTTAGATATTGTATGGCGGTTTTACAGTATGACAATAATAATAATAAAGTTACCTGCATATGCAGGGGAGGTAATTAATTAAACAAGTACAATTCGTAGACATAAGAATAGTTCTGGCTAATACGTAACTACCATGAAATGGAGTAAGCTTAAAAACAAAGAATGGATTTAGTCACAGGAGTCTATGTTGAAAAATGCTAAGTATTTCATTGATTACTCTGTCTTGCAAGTAATAAATAGAACACTTAGTAGCATACAGAAGCATGCCTCGTAAACATATATCTTTTGATACACAAATATCAAGTCACAAATTGAAAGAAAGTCTGAGATGTCAGAATGTGCCTAACTATTATTGTTTTTCTTGATAAAGAGTTTTGAGAGTAAAAAATTTTCTACATAATGTAAATTCATGTGTGTCTTAAATATTATGTAAATTTCTGCCATGGAAAGTCTTACTTACTTTGGTTTGTATAAATGTAACTTTTCCAGGCTGACTTGTTAATATGTTGTGAACTATTTTACAGATGGTCCAGAGAATATAATATTTAACCCTACTAGTGATAATATAGATGTTGTAGAAGGAAAGAGTCAGAGTGTCAACTGTTTAGCTGATTGTAAACCAGATTGTAACATCACCTGGTCTAAAGATGGTTCAAGAACAATTCTAAATAACCCTTTATCACTTAGTACTAGAGATCAAACTGGTTCTTATAACTGTACAGTTACACATATTGTATTAAATAAACAACTTACAAAACAACTTAATGTTCAGATTTATTGTAAGTATAAAAATGTTTTTATCATGCTTTTCAACTTACTTTCTCACAAGATGTAACAAGTATCAATATAATAGAAGGTAGAGATCAAACTATAACATGTTTAACTGATTGTTATTATTTCAGATGGTCCTGATGAACTTACTTTCTCACCAGATGTAACAAGTATCAATATAATAGAAAGTAGAGATCAAACTATAACATGTTTAACTGATTGTTCTTATTTCAGATGGTCCTGATGAACTTACTTTCTCACCAGATGGAACACTTATCAATATAATAGAAGGTAGAGATCAAAATATAACATGTTTAACTGATTGTAATAAATGTAATTATAAATGGACTGGACCAATTTCATCATCAACTAAAGATCTTGTATTGACTCAAATAAAAAGAACTCAGGAAGGAAACTATAGATGTGAAGCTACCAATATTAAAAATACCAACCCTACAACAAGATCTAAATCTATACAAGTTAATGTACATTGTAAGTACAATAACAAACAATTCTGACTGTTAAAATAGTGCTCAATATGTCAATATAGAGTGATATGGAAATATTATAAAGGAACCTAAAACATGTTGTTACTCTACATTGTAATATATATCTGCATATATCATATGACCACAAATATTCTCTTTATGTGTATGTATAATCATTAAATGAAGAATTAAAAACTATCAGAGTTATTCTTCTTGTTTTCAATAATAAAAGTTACTAAAGCTACTCTGGAATAAATGCTAATGATTTAAAAGCAAAGGTCATGAGATACATGAGAGGTTACCCAGCACTTTTGAATAATCAAACTTAGCACCAGCCCTGTTGCTAGGGTGGGGTACGTGGGGGCTGGGCTGCAGCAAGTGACAATGAAGCCCCCAGCAAAAGCTTCTTCAGTTCAGCAGAGATTAATTCATTTACAGTGTCTTTGTACAAAATCAAAAAGTTATAGATTTAGATACGTATTTGACACCTCAAAATTGTCAGAAATGAGTTCTCTGAGTACAAAATCTGAGCCCCAGCACCAATTCATTTCTGGCGACGGGGCTGCTTAGCACACTGAAAAATCTTTGCAAAATTCTATGTTGACAGTTAATAAAAAGTGTTTTTCCAATTGTCACAAAAAACTATAGTCGTCGTCCTTGAAACAATGCAAACCCACAATTCAAAATTGAAGGAATCTAAAAAATTGAAGTTTGTTGAGTAAGTATAGCTGGACAGTTCACACCCAAATATTATATAAAAATAATAGGGCATATTATATTTCAGATCCACCTGATATAACCAGTGTAAAATCTAATGCCGTAAATAACGAAACTGATGAAGGTTCTAATGTCACATTTAACTGTAAGGTTGATAGTAAACCAGTATCTACTATAACCTGGTCATCTTCTACTAGTACTGATACTAACACTGGTCAACAGTGGACATTAACTCAAGCTAAATGTCAGGATACAGGAATCTATACATGTACAGCTAATAATGGTATTGGTCAGTCACCTACTAAATCCTTACCATTAAATATTAGATGTAAGTAGTATTTATGGTTAGTCATTGTATTAGAATCTATACATATACAGCTAAGAATGGTATTGGCCAGTTAGCTGCTAAAGTTTTACCATTAGATATTTATAGATGTAAGTTTATATGATTGAGTCATTATATTATAATATCAATCAGTCAGCTACTTAAAGCTTTAAGTTTATACTTACTCAGTATACTATAATCTGTACAGCTAATAATTGTATTGGACAGTCAAGTATAGATCTTTGTAATTTAATTCATTCCACAAAATTTTGTTTTAGTTTCTTCTCGATTAAATGATAAAGAGGAATTCCTTTCAGGTTCACCAAGAATTAATGGTGATTTAAAAGATGAAGTAATGAATAGACTAGGTGAAGAAGTAACATTACTTATTGATGTTATAGCCTATCCTAAACCTAGTTTTAAATGGATACAAGAATCAACAGGACAAGAATTTACACCAGATACAACTCAACAAGAAGCTACCAATAATTATATTTCAAGTTTAACATTCACAATACAACAATCATCATTTGGTATCTACATTGTAACTGTTAATAATAGTATAGGTGATGATAAAAGTTACACTATAAAGATTATTGATGGTGGTAAGTTTTATTTAGATTTCGGGGAAAGGAGTGGTTTTATTCTCCCAATGTAAATCCTTAGATGGAGACAAGTGTAATTAGACCTACACAGGAAAATACATGAAGAAAGCACACAGGCTGTTGAAAAGACAAAAAACCTCCTCTCCTAAGGGTTTCGGTTTTGTACCATGTTCAGTATGCAAATATATACAACAAATATTTTCAAACACAAATACATACTTTCATTCATCGATAAAAACATTTCTGTAAAAAATGTTGTTTTTAATATGTTTGCGAAACCCAAAACACAGTGTGTGTTTTAGCAGCCATCGTTTGGATAGACTACATATTCCATAAGAAAGATAGACCAATCACAAATCATTTCAATTTACAAAATCAATCCATTAAAGATCATATGCCTATAGAGCAGGTATCTGTTTCTACAACACTCAAGGAAAAACCCAAGAAATTGCAAAGGGAGAGTTTCTGGATAAACCAATTACAAACAGTTGTTCCTAAATGTCTAAATATCCAGCATATCCATCAAATCACACCTTTCATTGCCACCTAAAATATTACAGCTGAAAATACCTCGGTGATTATCCTACGCTTTTATAAAAGAACTTTCCTAAACATCTATACCAAATGTTAGGTTATTGTTTATGAAAGAAATAAAAGTTTTAGTTATATTCTTGTCCTTACCATCTTCACCTTCCATCAACTCCTTGAAGAATTAAAATTGAATATTTGAATTATTTGTTTATCTTGTAAATCTCTCCAGGAGTAATAATTCCATAATTAAGTACTTTTCTGTAAAAAGTATTCTTTTTAAAATTAATTTGATTTTATACTCTAGTCTCTATTAATGACTTAGACCAGTTCTTCTTTAGAAGTGTTTATACCCCCTTACCAATATCAACATTTAAAACAGATAACTGTATTCAAGAAATCAGAAATTTAAAAGACTAATTTGTTCGTCATTCTTTGGAGCCCGATGGCTTTTTTATTTAAGAAACATGAATATTCATTACATAATCATCAGGGTTTTCTCCAATATAACCATGTGGCAGTCAATCATGTGATACACAAGGGAATTTCAAGTTCCATATACGACCTGATGTACTGTTTACTTTCTCAAAAAAAGTTAATGAAACATCAGAGCCAATTCTAGGTCCATTATCCATGTCTGATGAGAGGCATTGTGAAAGTGGTCTGTTTTACATCTATCCAATTTTACAGATCCCTCCAAATCTGGACCACCATCAGAATTAAATATTCCTGCTGTTGTTGGTGGAATAGTAGCTGCAGTTGTTGTTATAACAATTGTAATTGTAGCTGTAATTGTGATTAAGAAAAGTAAGTAGAGTATTTTTATTTCCTAATGAAAAAGACTAATATCTCTCAAAAGAGGAGTATGAAGGATTGCATGAATTTGTTTCTTTTAAAAATTTATGGGATCGCATCTGCCTTTCTAACTATCACCAATGGCATGAAGATTTCCCATATTTTTAATTATGTAGTCATGAATTATTTATAAACAGTTTCATTATGGTTATCTTAATGCCGTTATTGTTCCTGACCAAAGTATATTCCTGTGGATCCTCCAGAAGGGTTGCACACACATTAGCAACCTGTCTTCTGGAGGAGTGAGCATGCCCTGTGTACACATACTTATTATAATGGAGCTCAAACTCATTAGTTTTTGGAATGGAACAGTTTTATTCTCTTAGGCATAAATATGAGAAATTTTAACAAATTGCAATGTTTTTTAGGAAGGAATAGTGAACCTGAGTAAGTTGTTTTTAAGTTTATTTCTGTTTAATTTGTTTTGGTTAGTTGTGACCATCAATAAATGAAGAATATAGTATGTTAACAATTAACCAGGGAAATTTTTACCACAAAAAAATTGCTGCACAGCTCTCTGTAGCTTTTAACATCCATGTCATATTTTTCGGTTGCAACTACCTTTCTGAGATCTAAATTCAACATGAAAGCAGACAGCATTGGTTTTAATATTCTTGTCATAAGAAAGTTGTCCATGGAATTCAGAAGCCTTGCCACTCAAATCTGTTATATTTTTGCTGTGATCTTAATTGTTAATGTCAATAGTATGACTAGTAATATATTCATTCTTTACTATATTGTTAATCTCTAAAATTTCATTTTATTTTGATCAGTGCCTTTTTTTTTGTATCTGATTTTGAAATGCATGCTTCAAATCGGTTGTTGTTGGTTTTTATGGTTTCCCGATTTATTTATCTATCAAAGCATATCAATAATCATTTCTGTACCTATTAATATAATTTCATATATTACTTTTCAATTGATGTATTGACCACTATTTTAACATTATTGTGATTTCCTAATCATTCAAAACAGAAGAATTTGGTTCTTTTTTTTGCACAACATGGATGTATATTGCATTTTGGTCACCAGGGAATTGTAGAAGTTCAAACAATGCTATTTTTTCTAATC